CTCTCCCTGGAAGCCAAGATAATTGAGGCTGTCACATTTCAACTACATCATGAGAAGGCACAACTCTTTAGAAAAGATAATGGGAAAGTAGAGGGCAGTAGAAAGAAAGGAAGACGTTAAAGGTGTTAAAAGAACTCACAAAAGTAATCTCAGAATCACTGGGAATAATCTTTGAGAATATTAATAATAATAATAATAATAATAATAATAATAATAATAATAATAATAATAATAAATTATTTATTAATAGCCCGCCCAATCACAAAGAATCTGGGTGGGTTACAACAATAAAAATACATAGAATACAATAGAATTAAAAAAATTAATCCCTTCCCAACACCCCCCCAACCCAATGCTAAAATTACAATTAAACAAACATTATTTAAAAACAAAAATACAAAAGTTTAAAAAGGGAGATAGTAGACAGAGTGACATAGATCACCTTGTGCAGGGAGAGGAGCTAAGCTAGGAAGGCATGCTGGAAGAGATCCGTCTTAAGAGCCTTTTTGAAGGTGGTAAGAGTGGAGATGTGACGGATCTCCTCCGGCAGGTCATTCCACAGCTTTGGAGCAGCAGTAGAAAAGGCCCTCTTCAGAACTCCAGGAGAATAGGAGAAGTCCCAACAGACTGGAGGAGCAAAAATGTTGGCTCCATTTTCAAAAAGAGGATCCCAACAATTACCACCCAGTCAGTTTAACATCAATACCAGGAAAGATTCTAGAGCAGATCATTAAACAGAGAGTTCATGAACATTTACGGCCTCTGCAGACAGGCAGCCATGGGCCTCCCTGAGAAGCTGTGGATTGGGGCCCAGGCTGCCGCATGCCTCTTTTTCTGGCCCTGGAAGGAGCGCTAAATAGCGCTCCTTCCACAAGGTGTGGAAAGGGCACCACAAGAGGCGGCGCGCGCCTCTTCAGCATCTCTTCTGGCTCAGCGTGTCTGGACGCTGAGCTGGAAGGACGTCATCGGAGCGCCCGTCATGTGCAATGACGGATGCTCCAATGACATCCTCAGGAAGGGGGTGGGGCGCCTGCGTCTGGCTGCCCCTCCCCTTCTTGGGATTGAAGATGGTGCTTTGAGCCGTCTGCAAAGGGGGTAAGAAGGCAATGCCATAATTACAAAAAATCAAGATGGGTTTCTGAGAAACAAGTCATGCCACACTAACCTGGCCTCTGTTTTTTGGTAAAATTGCCATCTTGGTAGATGGAGGGAATGCTGTGGATATAGTGTAGCTTGACTTTAGTAAGACCTTTGACAAGGTCCCCCATGATATATACTTGCAAACAACCTAGTAAGCCACCCTGGTTGCATTTGCAGAGGGGCGGGATAAAAATAAATGTTGTTGTTGTTGTTGTTGTTGTTGAAAAATGTGGGCTAGAAAATGCATCTGTTACGTGGATTTGTAATTGGTTTGCTGGCCGAACCCCAAGGGTGCTCAGCAATGTTTTTCTTCATACTAAAGACAAATGACCAGTGGGGTATCACAAGGTTCTGTCCTGGGCCCACTGCTATTCACCATCTTTATCAATAACTTGGATGAAATGATAGGGGACATGCTTATCAAATTTGCAGATGACACCAAATTAGGTAAAGTAACTCCCCAGAGAGGACCAAAATTCAAAATGATCTTAACAGATTAGAAAGCTGGGCTAAAACTAACAAAATGAATTTCAGCATGGAGAAATGTAAGGTACTGCACTTAGGGTGGAAAAATGAAATGCATAGATACAAGATGGGGTAAACCTGGCTTAATGAGACTATGTGTGAAAGGGATTTAGGAGTCCTAGTAGACCACAAGTTGAACATGGGTCAACAGTATGATGCAGCAGCTAAGAAAAATGTAATTCACACCAATAGATGTGTAGTGTTTAGAAAAAGGGAAGTACCGTATTTTCCAGTGGATAAGACGACTTTTAAACCCAGGAAAATCTGGGTTAAAGTCTGGGTTCATCTTATACACCGGGTATAAAGACGAGGAGGAGGACAGAGGCGAGAGGAGGGAAGAAGCCAGGAGAAAGGAGGGAGAAGCCAGGCAAGAGCACGTGGAGGACAACGACAACAGGGGTGGCAAGGCAGGAAGAAGCCAGGAGAAAGGAGGGAAGAATCCAGGAGAGAGAAGCTAGGCAAGAGCATGTGGAGGACAAGGAGGATGGGGGTGGCGAGGCAGGAAGAAGCCAGGAGAGAGGACAAGGAAGACAGGGGTGGTGCAGCAGGAGGAGGAAAAGAACCCTAAGGCGATCCTCTCCTGGGGTTTTCTTGGCAAGACTGGTTCTGAGGAGGTTTGCCATTGCCTTCCCCTGAGGCTGAGAGTGTGTGATTAGAGTATTTTTTAAAAAGTAAGGTCCAAAACACACTGCAGAAATAAATGCTAGAGAACATGGGAGCTGTAATTTGTTGTGTTATAAGTGACAGTTTTCCTGCTAAGTACCTGCATGCCATAAGCATTTGAATTAAAATTACCACATTGAAATCAAATCTGATGTTCTCTTAAATTTTTATTTGGTGTGCATTGAAAGAGGGGTTGTCTTATACGGTGAGTATATCCCAACCTCTATATTTTAACTGGAAAAGTTGCAGGTCGTCTTATATGCCAAGTCATCTTATACGCCGGAAAATACGGTGATAGTACCATTCTATTCTGCATTGGTCAGGCCTCACCTGGAATACTGTGTCCAGTTCTGGGGACCACAATTCAAAAAGGATGTTGACAAGCTGGAGCATGTCCAGAAGAGGGCAACCAAAATGGTGAAGAGTCTGGAAACCATGCTTTATAAGGACAGACTTAGGGAGAAGGCTATGTTTAGCCTGGAGACAAGATGGTTAAGAGGGGATATGATAGCCCTGTTTAAATATTTGATGGACGGGCTTTGCAGATGGTGCTTTGCACCGTCTTCAAGCCAAGGAAGGGGAGGGGCAGCTGGACACTGGGTGCTCCATCCCCTTCCTGAGGACGTCATCGGAGCACCCGTCCTTCCACACGACGGGCGCTCCGATGACGTCCTTCTAGCTCAGCGTCTGGACATGCTGAGCCAGAAGAGACAGAAAAGAGCTGCATTATCTAGCTTGAACTTATGAAGGTCCTCAGTGGTCATTATTTTTGTTTTCTTTATGTTCAACATTAAGCCTGCCTTTGCACTTTCTTCTTTGATCTTCTTTAGTGTTCCAGGTCTGTGAGGTTTTCTGCTAGTATTATGATGTCATCTGCATGTCTTAGGTTATTGATAGTCCTTCCTCCTATTTTCACCCCTCCTTCTTGTGTGTCCGAGCCTGCTTTTCGTATAATATATTCTGCACACGTTGAACAAATAGGGTGAAACGATGCAGCCTTGTCTGACCCCTTTGCCAATTGGGAACCATTCTGTTTCTCCATGTTCTGTTCTAACAGTAGCCTCTTGTCTTGAGTACAGATTCCTCATCAGGACTATCAGATATGTTGGCATTCCCATGTCTTTAAGGGAATTCCATAGCCCTTTATCATCTACGCAGTCAAAGGCTTTGCTATAGTCTATAAAGCACATGCTGATTTTCTTTTGGAATTCCCTGGTGTGCTCCATGAGCCACCATATGTTTGCAGTGTGATCCCTAGTGCCACTTCCTTTCCTGAACACTGTTTGGACATCTGGGATCTCTCTTTCCATGTATGGTTGGAGTCTATGTTGCAGAATTTTGGGCATAATTTTGCTTGCGTGGGAGATGATTGCTATGGTCCTATTGTTGCTGTAGTCTCTTGTGTCTCCCTTTTTGTGGATGGTGATGTATATTGATTGCTTCCAATCTGTTGGCCATTGTTTTGTTTTCCATATCTGTTGACATATGTTGGTTAGCACTAGAGTTGACTCTGTCAATGTGGATAGCAGCAGTTCAATTGCAATATCATCTGTTCCTAGTGATTTGTGTTTCGCTATTTCTGAAAATTCATTTTGGCCACCTCTGTTTCTCCATTGTCACATCTCTAACTCCTTGCTCCAATCAGTCAGTCTGTCCCAAAATGGCACTGCTCCAAACCATAGAAGCAATGTCCTGCCTTGCATGAGTTTCCTAATAGCCCCTGCCACCACCACAGAAAGATGCAGCTAATGCAGTGAACTTGTGGGGGCAGGCAGAGAGTTGGAGACACCACCACACAAAATGATCAGTGAGTCTGTGTTGCAGTTTTAAGGGACCCTCAAAAGAGGTTCCATGAAATCCTCATCCCCACCATGGTTCTGAAGGCTGCTGGTTCCCATTGTCTTTCTTGCACAGCAGTACTTTGACTGAAGGCCTCCGTGCTGCCTCCTTTTCCCTCGCTGTCCCCCTGTTGTCCCCTTTCACCCTCACTGACCCCCTGGATCTTTCCACTGCCCCACGGGGGAGGGGGGAAGCATACCACCCACTATGCGAATTACTGTTCTAGCTGCTAATTTACTCTTTGAAGAAACTGGAATCCCTAGGGACCCTGAGGGATGTTTTATTTTTGTGAAGAGCTCTCTGGCAGGCAAAGCATTAACCACCGATTCCTATTACAATCCACATCTTGTCAAAAACAGCTTTTTGCCAGTATATTATCCAAACTGAATACTTTTGCTGATCAGGACTTTATAGTTTTGGGTGGGAATTCCAATGTGGTGCTGGATATCAACCTAGACTGAACAGCATTATCAAACACTTAGAGAAAATGTCTGGGGTGATGTCCGTTCACCATATGATAGATATTTGGAGAGTTAAAACACCCTCTAGATAGAAACTACACCTGTTACTTTTTAAGATTTAATACATTCATGAATTGACCATATTTTGTCATCCCTTCAATTTGTGGCCAGATGAGGAACATCTCTACAAGCACATTATGAATATCGAACCAGACTCCATTGTTGGATTGGAACAGCACGGTGCCCTCTGTGGTTGTGGAGACAAGCCTGCTAGTGCAACAGTTCTTTCTTGATACTATAACGAAAGCTGCCAATCATTACTTTTTTGGAAAGAGCCCAGACAGAAATTACTGCCACATGAGAATATAGAGAGCCAGTGTGGTGTAATGGTTTGAGCGCTGGACTACAACTCTGAAGACCAGAGTTCAAATTCCTGCTTAGCCATGTAAATCCACTGGGTGACCCTGGAGTCGCTCTCTCTCAGCCTCAGAGGATGGCAATGGCAAACCCCTCTAAAGAAACTTGTCAAGAAAACCCAATAAGGTTGACATAAGTTGGGAAGAACTTGAAGGCACATAATAACAAAAACTACATGGGATGCCTTTGTATATTTATGGTGTTTTAATGTTGTAAGCTGCCCCGATTGTGTCAGCAAAGGGGCGGGATATAAATAAATATTGTTGTTATTATTATTATTATTATTATTATTAAAAGTTGTCCTGTGGATAATATTTTCAGTAAGGCAACATTTATTAAGAGAACTCAAGAAAAAGGGATAACACCAATATCACAGACTGAACCAAGTTCCAAACTACATATACAATACCCAGATGGTAAATTAGTCTCAGAACTGTCAGCCAAAAAGGCTGATCTGACAGCTTTAGATACAGATAAACTTCACATATCTCTGGTTACCTCAAAATAAATTATTGCAAATTTGGCAACAAAACATCCAAATTATTGGCCAATTCAATTTTAAAAACAAGTATAAGAACAAATATTCCAGAAATTAAAAAAGGATTGTGATGTAACAATCAATATAGAACAATGGATGCAAGCTACAGGAAAAGAGATTCCACCTCAGCATTAGGAGGAACTTTCTGACAGTGAGAGCTGTTCGACAGTGGAACACACTCCCCTGGAGTGTGGTGGAGTCTCTTTCTTTAGAGGTCTTTAAATAGAGGCTGGATGGCCATCTATCGGGGATGCTTTGATTTTGAGTTCCTGATGCAGCCACCATGTGGTCTTGGCAAGGCCACCTCGTGCCTGTGAAGCCATTTGCCCCCCCCCATGTGAGCATGCGCAGTATGCCCTGCCGTCATGCACATGCGTGCCACGTGGGGGGCGCCATTTTGGAAGGCCCCATGGCGCCTGCACAGCCACCGTGGAGCCTTGGAAAGGCCCCCTCACGCCTGCGCAGCCGCTGCGGGGCCTTAGCAAGGCCCCTCTACACCTGATGCAGCTGCCGTGGGGCTTTGGCAAGGCCCCCTCACACCTGCGCACCTGCCATGGAGCCTTGGCAAGGCCTTGACTTCCCAAGACCCCTCGGTGCATGACACGGCTGCTGCAGGGCCTTGGCAAGGCCCCCCTGCACCTCTGCAGCTGCCACCTGCTGCTGTGCGCATGCGGGCACCATTTTAACATCCAAAATGGTGCTCGTGCTTGCGCATGCATGAGCACAGCGGCGGGCGCCATTTTGGACGCCAAAATGGCACCTGCGCTCACGTGGGGGTGGCGGTGCTTCTGGGGCAGCGACGGCAGTGGCGTGACCAGCCATATGCTGGGTGCGGCCCGCAGAGGCCTTGGAACCGGCCTTTGAAAATGGCAGCCCCCATGTGCACACGCATGCACACAACGGCGGGTGTCATGCAGGGGGGCAAGCACAAGCACGCACCCGGCCGCCTGGCCCCAGCGCCATTCCCGGCCCCTGGTTTAAGGTCTAGCCAATTCCTCACTTTCCCAGAAGGTAATTTCATTGTCCAAAAGGTGGAGGAGGCAACAAGAGGATCACTTATTTTAGATCTCATCCTAACCAACAGGGATGACCTAGTATATGGGGTGCAAGTGGTGGGATCCTAAGCTGGGAGTCACCATGTTCTCCTGGAGTTTGTTATACATTCTAATGGAGAAAACAGGCATAGTCAGACACACATTCTAGATTTTAGGAAATACCGGGGGTGAACATGTGGTCAGGAATGCTAAAAGAGAAGGGAATTCAGGACAGATGGGAGTTTCTCAAAAGGGAGATATTGAAGACACAATTTCAAACAGTTTCAGTGAGGAGGAAAAATGGGAGGTGTCTCAAGAAACCAGGATGAATTATTAAAGAGCTAGGTTTTAAACGGAACATGTATAAGAAATGGGAAAAGAGGGAGATTATCAAAGAAGAATTCAAACAAACAGCTAGCACATGTAGGGGTAAAGTCAGAAAATCTAAAGTCTAGAATGAGCTCAGGCTTGCTAGAGAGGTTAAGAACAACAAAAAGGGTTTTTTTGGGGTATGTCCGTAGCAAAAGGAAGAAGAAGGAAATGGTAGGGCCACTGTGCAGAGAAAATGGCAAAATGCTTACAGAGACAGAGAAAAGGCAGAACTACTCAACTCCTTCTTTGCCTCAGTCTTCTCACAAAAGAAAAAGGGGCTCAACCCGAGGAAAATGGAGCAGAGGACACAACAGGGGAAATGTACCACAGAATAAGTAAAGAGGTAGTACAGGAATACCTGGTTAATCTAAATGAATTTAAGTCTCCAGGATCAGATGAACTACATCCAAGGGTATTAAAAGAAATGGCAAATGTAATCTCAGAGCCACTGGCAATCATCTTTGAGAACTCCTGGAGAACAGAAGAAGTCCCAACAGATCAGAGGAGGGCAAATGTCCCCATCTTCAAGACGGGGAAAAAAAGAGGATCCCAACAGTTCTTGTCCAGTTAGATCAATGCCAGGAAAGATACTAGAGCAGATCATTAAACAGCGAGTCTGCAAACATTTAGACGGGAACGCCGTAATCACAAAAAGTCAAAAGGGGTTTCAGAGAAACAAGTCATGCCAGACTAATCTGATCTCTCTTTCTTTCTTTCTTTCTTTCTTTCTTTCTTTCTTTCTTTCTTTCTTTCTTTCTTTCTTTCTTTTTTTGGATAAAATTACCAGCTTTATTTCAGTAAGGCCTTTGACAAGGTTCCCCATGAAATTCTTGAAACCAAACTAGTAAAATGTGTGCTAGACAATAGAACTGTTAAATGGATTTGTAATTAGTTGACCTGCTGAACCCAGGACAATAATTGCAAGCTTCAGGAAAAGAGATTCCACCTAAACATTAGAAGGAACTTCCTGACAGTAAGAGCTGTTTGACAGTAGAACAAACTCCCTCTGAGAGTGATGGGGTATCCTTCTTTGCAGGTCTTTAAACAGAGGCTGGATCTGTTGGGGGTGCTTTGATTTCCTGAATGGCAGGGGATTGGACTGGATGGCCCTTGTGATCTCTTCTAACTCTATTATTATTATTATTATTATTATTATTATTATTATTATTATTATTATTATTATTATTATTCTGTTTTAAACAAATTCAAAAGACACACTTCTTCAACTGACAAAAATACAACTTTGAACTACAACTGGTTTATGAATTAACTATAGCAAATCCAGATTATTTTGTATTAACCCACCTAGAGAAGCACAACTTGAAGTGCAAAAGCAATCCAATCTAATACTACAATTCTCAAGCCTGAAATCTTGATGAATCCTTATAACAAAATATTGTTCACAGTTGGCATATAGAAACTATACATTTCCTTGTAAACAGATGAAACACAATTTCATTACTTGGCAAATCATTCTGTGGTAACTAGATTGGCAGTAGTGAAAATATTTATCCTCCATAAATTCATTTTTTAGTCCAGATCCTCTATCCCCTGAATTAAAATTTCTCTCTCTTTTTCTGTCCCTCCCTCCCTCCCTCTCCCCCCCTCCCTCTTCCCCCCCCCCCTCCCTCTTGCTCTCTACTTTGATGCTGTCCAGGTGAATTACATAGCATCTTTCATCAGACTGGACTATTCACAAAGGATTCAGATAGTATTAGGCCTGGAATCAAAACTTAAATAATGCCATCATTCCCCCCTCCAAAAAAAAAAAATTAAATAAAAAGCATTGCAAAAAAAATGTTTTTTGAAACATTGACAGTATGGCAGCATGGGGCAAAGCACTTGATTGCATAGCTATCACTTTTAGAACCATTTCTCACTCATCCTTTATTCTTTCTTAATGTTAACCGAATGCAATACAAGGATTTTAGAAACCCCATTTTGCAGAGAATTATGGATTTATTTTATAGTGGTACACTTGTACAAGCTAGATATATTCAGGATAATCGTCAAGGTCTGAGACTCTCTTGGTTACATCTTCTTCAAATACATTCATTTGTAAAATCTTGAGTAGACACCATGGGCTTCCAAAACAATTACACATATATGTACATAATCTGAATCTCAGCTAAAGAGCTTCCATAGTTTACAAAATTTTACTGGATGTAAAATTCAGTAATCCATCTGGAGCAAAACATGCTTGGGAGGCTGACCTTGATAATACTCTTGGAACAACAAGATTTTGGTCTTCAGTCCCTCATTTCACCCCATCTCCTCCAGCAGCAAAGAATGTACGCCAAAGGTTTTGCACATATATTACTTAACACTGATAAACTAACAGGATTTATACCAGATATCTCCATATTGTACTGGAAGTGATGTGGTGAAGGACATACTCTGAAACAACTTTGGTTATCCTGCCCCAAGATTTTCAAATTTGGGGATGCAGTTAGTAGTGACTATAGCCAATAATTATAGCAAACCAGAACATTAAACAGAATCATAGAATCATAATCACAATCAAAGCACTCCCGACAAGTGGCCATCCAGCCTCTGTTTAAAAACATCCAAAAAAAAGGAGACTCCATCACTCTCCAAGGAGTGTGTTCCACTGTCAAATGGCTCTTACTGTCAGGAAGTTCTTCCTAATGTTGAGGTGGAATCATTTTTCGGTAGTTTAAATCAATTGTACTATGTTCTAGTCTCTGGGGCAGAAGAAAACAAACTGTTTCCTTCTTCAGTATGATATCCCTTAAAATATTTAAACAGGGCTGTCATATCATGCCCTCCTCTGGACATGCTCCTGCTTGTCAACATCCTTTTTGAATTGAATTATTGTATTGTAGTCCTAAAACTAGACACAGTATTCCAGGTGAGGCCTGACCAAAGCACGATAGAGTGATACTATTACTTCCATTTGCTCCTTTGGTCAGATTTCTGGGAGAACAATGCATAGCTGCAACTTAAATAGCTAATCTCTTTTTTTTTAACTTTTGA